ATTGCGTCTTTCGTATTGTCAGCCCCTTTTTTCCTGAAGGGAGGCCCCTGTGGCTAAGGGGAACGCGTGTGGGCCGGCGCTGACCTTTGGGCTCCCTGTTTCAGGCAGGGTCCTGCTGAGGGAGGTACAGGCGCTGACCCTGCGCGTAGGTCAGTACACGACATCCCGGCGGACAGCTGCGGTCCCTCAGCTGCAGTGCACGGGAGGCACCGCGGGGTGTTCCCGCGTCCCTCAGGTGGTTCAGTGCTACAACAAAGGCTGGGATGGCTATGACGTACAGGTAACGGGTTAAAACTTGTTAAACTCCTAATGAAATCGCCTTTCTAGGCTTGGTGACTTTTGAAGGAGAAAAGAGTTATGGGCTAGGGTGTCGGTTCAGTTTGCTTTTTGTTAGAGGATCTTTGGTGACTAAAGCTTAACCTAAATACTTCTGGGGTTTGGATTTGCTATAACTACTGTAGGTATAGCTTTGAAACATCCCTGAAGGCTCTAATGTAAAAACACTGCGTAGCAAACCTCTGTTGGCTTTAACTAAAATGTTGCTCGAGTTCATAAAATCAGGCTTGGGAACCCTTGAGGATGCTTTTGCTTTGGTATTGCTGTGTGGATTTCCCATCTTTAGAGTAAAAGGGCTATAGATATTTGCATCACTTCAGCTCTCCAATTTAAAAACTAATTCAGACTTACATGGCTTTCTCTTGCATGTTGGTACACCAGTACTAGTCAGTAAACAGTCATGTATTTCTGTTTCGTTAGCTATTACCTAGGCTTCTGCCAATAGATTAACCAGGAATCAAGGCTGAAGATAATTTTTAAAACACAGTATTGTAAAAGTACAGTCAGATTTGAATTGGCAGTTGATACTGCTGTCCTGAATTATTAATTTAGAAACTACTTTCTTTTTTTTTCTTTTCCCCAAAATATGTGTCACTTGCAGTTAGAGATGATATCTAAGTTCACATACTTCAAGGGACCGCAAGACTGAAGAATCTACATATATTCAACTGCAGAATCGCAATCTCATTGAGAAGTGTTGCATGTGAATGCCTTATGACATCTTTCCCAATTTTTTGATTTCTTTGTGCAATCAGGTGCACTGGATTTCAGGGTTCTATATTTTTTGTAGCTGCCATTCACTTCACATGGGAACAGGCATTTATTAAGTAACTGTTGCACAGGGCACAGGTTATTTTTAGAAGTATTCCTGTAGCTAAAGAAGGGGTACTTGAAAAACCTCTTCAGTAAAGAAAAACAAAATATTCATTAACTTTTAGGATTTTAAAATCATTCTTAGTTAATTTCAAATTCCTACTCCTTTTCAAAATAAGAGCACTCACAAATTTCTTTCCCTGTGGCCTTTTAGATGATTTGTTAGCAATTACAGTTGTGTTTCAGAGCCTATTTGGGGAAGCAGATGGGTATTTTCATCTCTGGAGCAGAAGGTTTTACTTTGTGTTTATTTTCTCAGTGGCAGTGCAAAGCAGACTTGGAAAATACCTACCGTTTTGGACAAATCGAAGTGAGCTGTGAAGGCTACGATTACCCAGATGATCCTTACATCTTAAGAGGTTCCTGTAGTCTGCTGTTCACGCTAGAGCTGACTGAGGAAGGTGAAAGGAAAGTGAAGAACTCTGGAAGCTTTGGCTCTGGCTATTATCAGTCAAGGAAGGATTCTTTTGATTCTAGTGCTGGAGCGATTGTTATAATTGTTCTTCTAGTTCTCGCTTTTGGAGTATACAAGCTCTTCCTCTGTAACCAGCAGCCTCAGCAGAGTTTTGGTGACAGGGATGGATTCGCTAGGCCTTCCTGGCAGAGTCAGCAGGCACCTCCTCCTCCTGGTTTTAAGTCCAGCTTCACAGGTAGGGCTCTAAGCCTTTTATAGTACTCAAAAGAGCAAGCAGGATTGTACTGCTTTATCTGCGGGTGGGATAGACTTAAACCTAATGCATTGGCAGTTGACTCTGCTGAATTGGCTGCAGAGCCTGCAGCCACCTTTGTGCCCTATTCTTTGTTTAAAAGTGAAAATAAGAACTTGATTTCCCCCAGGCTTTCAGGGCAGGCTGTGCAGCAAGCTGCCCTTTGAGCCTTTGAAAATCCATCTCCCTGTGCTCTGCAAACGTTCTTTTCGCACTGTGTGAAATACGAGGATTGTGACAGGGAAGAATAATTTTCATAAGTAATCTGGAAGAGAGAATAGTCTCACCTAGGCAGAAACAAAATCATGCCAAAGCAGCACTTTGAAACTTTACAGAAGAGTCCTTCAGTTCCTGGGCTGCCTGACCCCTGATTTCATTCACAAAACTGTCGGAGTTGAGTGTCGTGTACCAGTCCTCTGCTTAACAGGTGCTTCAGTGTGGTCCCAATGGCTGAAAGATGTGGTTCCTAGAGCATAGAACAGTGTCTGTGAACTATCATTAGAGGTGCAGCACCTGAATCTCACATGCTGCCTTGCATCTAAAGTTGGAAATTGTGTAAGCAGTGATAAGGGCACTGATAGGAAAAGGTGCATTTTTCCTTTTCCCAGAAAACTGATTACTTTTGTCACTTAATAAATGGACTGCCTTAGATGGTCATAGTGTCTAAGGGAAATAAATGCTATTCATCTGGTGTCTGACCAACCTATTTAATCCTGGGAACAGGTGAGATGTTCACAGCACTGGAACTTAAATTATCTTCTGACAAGTTCATAGTCCCCATCTTTTTTTTTTTTTCTTTCTGTGAGTTAGAGAAGAGATTCTATCAAGTAAATAAATAGCAAGGATTAAGTTTACTTAGTCAAAAGGCTATATTTTAGTAATGCTTGCTAATGCTTCCAGGTTTGCTCGAGCTACTTGGCCAACAGAGGGTGCCAGTATAACTCTTTTAGATACCCTTGTGCAGGGCACGTGCAGCAGAAACTTTCAGCTGTACCTGCAGCAGAAAATTAAAGGGGTTCTACTTGTATATTACTAGTGGCTTTGCAAATGAGTTCCACGTAGTTATTTCAGACTTCAGACAGTCTACGCTGTGTGTGCATGCCACTTGCCGCAGGCGTTACTGTGACAGTTACTAAGAGCCCTGGTCATAAGGCAGGGCTCGTCATACTGGGCACAGGCAAAACAGAGTGAGGAGTTACCTTTTTTTTTCCTGTCCTGTTCCTTGTTAATTAATTGCAGCAATGCATTTTTCATTGCAGGAGTCTGAAATCTAGCAGGGGTAGGACCTTGAAAATATGTTTTCTTGAGTATTACTGAAAGTTGAGACACCTAAAATGCACATTGGGAGCCATATAAGGCTTAAATTACGGCATTTTCAATAACAAGTGCCAATGATTTCTCCTTAAATTTCAAACAGTAAGGAGGAAAACCTCTTGAATGTGGGGCTGGCTTAAAAATGTTGTTATGCTACTTTATGCATTTAGCAACTACCTTTAAATTTTGACAGTGGAACAAAAGCGCATCCCTGAGTGTTTATGTCCATATTTCAGGAATGTGTTAGTTTTTGCTTATTGTTACCATCCAGATTTTTCAATGTCTTTCACTTTTTCCTGTTAATATTTAATTTGCCTGACTTTAAATCCCCTTAACATGCAGAATGTGTCCTGTGAAACTTGTTTGGCTAGCCTATCCCAATTAAATTCTACTTTTTTCTCTGTTAGTGGTTTGTCATGATCCTTAATGTTTACTTTAGATACTTCAACAAAAAAAGACTCAGTTTTGAGTCCATGTTCAGCCACGGTGCTTTTGAACAAATGAGTTCATTCATCTCCCTGATTCACACAATTTTTACAGTAAATTAAGTCCTTTTTTTTTTTTTTGTTCCAAATCAGGATAGTTTAATAGGTATGTCATCTCAATGAGACTTTATCTTTTTCCCAATACATTCAAAATGAAATTCAACATCAAGTCCAATGTGGACTTAAACTGGTTATTTAAATTGTTTCTTTTTTTTTAGCTTCCATGACTTCAGATAATTCATACCAATCTGAAGACAAACTAGGCCCTGTATAACTTTTACATAATCTCTGGTCCACTTGTTTAGGTGGGCATATTTCAGGGAGACTGTAAGGTTCTCTTTGGTCCTTGCCTTTTACACTTCCTTATGTGTTAAACCTGTGGTTGAGCTTATTCTTGCATCCGTGTTTTTTTCTACACCAGAAAGGGATTCTGCTTTGGTTTTGCATCATCTCTTTTTATTTCTAAATGGGAGGCATTTGGTTCTGAGTCAGAACCTCATGTTATGCAGGTCACACATAAAAAATCCATGACTCGCCTCCCCCCCCACAACCCACTTGATATTCTCGCAGTTTCATCAAGGTATTTGTCAAGTATGGTGACTCACGCATAATAAAAACTTTGCGATGTGATTGCAGTTAGCATGTCTTTTGGTAACAAATAGCCGACTAGAATTACCAGGAACAATATGAAGTAATGTTAGCTGTTAGACTGAGCCACTGTTGCTCACGATGTGCAGCTGTTCTGAGTGGGATTAGCAGCAATGTGTCCTAGTGGTTATTTCACTCTTTGGTCTTACGTACTTGATTTCTGTTCCCGCGTCTGCTTCTGGCTTTCTGTGTGACCTTGAGCTGATTATTCTTCCTTCATTTCCTTTTCTATTTTTAATCTAGCTTGTCTGTTTATAAATCTGCAGGCAGGGGCTCTTTGCCATGTTTTGCAAAGGTCAGGGCTGTGAGATTGAGTGGAAGCTGATTTTTCATGTAAAACTCTTTACATCTGTGTTCATTTCTTTGTTTTTTCCTGCTTTCCAAATTGTGATGCTCTTCAAGTTAAGCTTGATCAAGAATCTACTGAAATCGGGAGGAGTTTATTTTCTAATTTTACATTATCTTTAACAGGGGAGAGTCTTGTTGCAACAGCTGGCCTGAGGATTAGGTGCCACTAACTGGTATGTTTTCCATTTTCATTTTGTTTAAGAAGGTGACAGCTTTGGGACTTCTGCCTATCGTGGAACCAATTCAGGACCAGGATTTTGGAGTGGATTAGGAACAGGAACCTTGCTAGGCTACTTGGCTGGCAGTAACAGGTAAAATATGCATGCTCTCAGATTTTAAGTATTTAAGCTCTCAGTAGGTATGCCGTATACCATGTTTATATTGTTTCTAAGCTTTCAGGCCTATATCGTTTAAGCTAGGAAATCCTACCTCTAGAACAACTTTGAGGAGCAGCCTGTAGCTCCAGAAGCAGAGACATTTTAAACATGTTTCTGGGAACAAGAATTAGGAGGGCTGAGGTACTTCACTCTGCTTTAGCTGATTACTCTGACCCAGCATGATGGCCTGCAAATTTAAAATGAGCATTTAAACAATCCATCTGCAGACTGCCTTAAAACACACATAATATATTAAGCATAAAACCTTCTGTAGATAGGTCTCTTGTATCAGTGTCATCTCTCCTGAAGTCAGTCTGGATGGCAGCTGTTCTTTTGTGAGACACAGTGTGGTCAATTAAACAGCCTTTAATCTACAGCCTCCTGTGGCCCATGTATGGAAATCCAAGAGGGGTGATTTCCCAAAGGACTTGTAGGTCATGTAAGTTGCATTTTGGAAAAATGTAACACAAACAGTATTCAAAAGCAGTTTCAGTGCTGGAGTAAACATCTGCTGGTCATATTTACTAAACACTTTTAAACATTTAAAATGCATCATTTTTAGATAAACTATTTAAAGGGAGCAATTGCTGCCATTTCAGGCTTCACTAGAGAAAATATGTGGCTCCTGCAGGCAATCAATACAGCCCAAGCAGTTTATTTGTCAAACAACTGCATGTGTATCAAGTCTAATCCTGTATGAATGCAGTAACATAACAGATTAAATATAACCACATAGAGTTTTTTATATTGAAAGTTTGGGATTGAGATCGTGTGGGCAGGAGTGTGTTAAAGCATCTTCCTCCTTTGTGAATTTGTTTGGGGTTTTTTTTTGTAATGACAGAAGCTTTATCAGAATTGCCTGTTTATTAAGGAAGTAAAAACTTGGGACATAAGAGAATTTCTAAAGTGTCCAATGTGCAGTCTTGATCTCAGAGTCAAGTAAGATGAGACTGGGACAGTGATGCCATGAACAGTAGAAATTGTCTATAAATTTACTTTGAGTAGAGCTTTAGTGGATGAAATATCCTATCTTGGACTTGATGATCTTAAAGGTCTTTTCCAAGCAAAATGATTCTATGATCTTGTTTTATTATATTAACCCTGCTAAGAATTCTTAAAAGGTATAATGTGCTAAAGGTTTTATTGACTTGATATTTCTTAAGTCTTAAATACATGACCCTTGTGTTTAAGCATTGTATTTAGGTATTATGTTGGTTCCTTGATTTCTGCACACATCCCTCATTTCAGTAGCTACCTCTTACTGCTCAAGATTAGAGGCCTAACTGAATATTTAAGTCCAAATAAATGGACAAGCTTCCTGACTTGGGCTTCTCTTTTAAAACAGTCTTCGAGTCAGTCTTCTTTTTTTCAGTCATTTGAAATTATGTGTGTGAAAAGGCTGGTACCAGAAAGTGTGAGATAGCTATTTGTAAATTTCAGCAGCAGGAAATTCCATGTCCACAGAAGCAAGTAATTTAAATCAGAGAGTCAAAGGTCATGATATGTTAGTCTTATTGATACAACCTCTTCAAAATAGTTAACAGAACAGAGGGATGTTTTCTTCTGTCTTGCATGGCTGGGATGTAGGTGTTGCCAAAATGCATTTAAGCTTCAGATGTCAAATCTACTTTCTTGTCTAACAGAATCTGAGGTCAGAATTTCAGAGGAAAAAAATTCCTTGTTTGCAATTGTTAGAATTGCTTATCCTGAAGAATGAGGTTTAACTTTCTCTTGGAAGCCTACAGGTGCTACTGTGACAACGCTGGATATCCTTGCTCTCAACATGTTAATTGCATTAATTAGGGAGCTTTCCAGCTTTGAAACAACTGCTTGCTTACAGTTTTCCCTCAGAGATGCAGTCCCTTTGTTTGGAATGGTAATCCCTTAATTTTTCATAAGGGCACTAATGAAGCCTTCCTTCTACTCTGTTTCTTCTCAGAGCACAGCCACGTTCCCCATATTACGGTATGTGGACAGATCCCACAGCTGCACCTCCAATGAACAGTCAGTCAAGCAATTCCACACAAGGTAGCAGTTCAGGAACAAGAACTGCTTCTGGTAAGGCAAAAGACCTTTCAGTCTCCTGAAGCTCAAAAGACATTGACCTATCAAAAATACATAGATGTTGAGGTTCAGCAAGCATTCTTTGTTTTATTTTGCCGCTTGGTACAGATGGGCATGTAACAATGTTCCTTATTTCTGTTTCCTATGGAAGTAGGGCAGCATTGTGGGGCATGAAATTCCCCACAGGCGTACAATGAGCATGGTACCACCAGCACCGGGCTTGTCTTCATCTGCAAGATACGTTAGTTTAAGGCTTTCCCCTTTGGTGTGCGCTACACATGCCCTTCTCTAGCAAACATGTACAAACATGATTTATTTGTACAAAGCAGGCCGTCTGTTCTGCAAGAACAGAATATTTTTCAGGTCCATCACCTCAACGGTTGTTGTTTTACTTTATGTGAATATGTTTAACTCATCTTGCTTACCACCTTTAGCCTTTTTAGAACTGGGGAGAGCACAGTGGAAAGACTGTGATGGAACTGACAGGTTTGTTTTTTTTCGTTTGCAGGCTTTGGGGGCACAAAAAGAAGATGAAATGCTTGATGTTACTACATCTGATTGAACTAAATCTTCCTGTGTACTAGCACTTTTTTACTTAGTAGCAGGCTTCAGAAGCGGATACGAGAAGTGTGAAGGACTAGG